ATAGGAATACAGAGGATAAAAACAGAAGCGGTTGTCTCTAAAAATAGTTCTTTAGTAAATTTGATTTTGCAAGCATGTATATATTTTACATCGTTGTGAAACAAAAATTTTAGAAGTCGGTCCCTAAATAATGAAAGCAAAACCAGAGCAAATGAATCTAGCTATATTGAAATAGTGGCATGACCACACAGAGAATTATTTTAAGTGACTTTAATACACAGTAATTTTTTTCTTTCAGCATTTTAATTTAATTATATATATATTTTATATCATTCTTCCTTTTTGTACAAGTCATACTTTCAAAACACAGTAATTTTAATGTATATCTATACTGGGATGTACCTTACAGGCCCCAAATTATAAATATCTTAAACTACTTTCAGAAATCATATGGCTTGTGGTAGTATTGGCACTGTAATTCTGAGCTATTTTATATGTCCTGGGGATAAGCAAATGAATTATTGTGCTATGTCAATGGCAATATGGAAAAAGGAGATGAAAAATCAAAAGATTGAACAAAGAATTTGTGTACTGAATTTTAATTAGAGTTAGTGTTGCACTCATGATACAATTTACCTGCTAAGTATGTGATAAGTAAATATATATACACGTATATATCTATCTCCTAGTTCGGTCCATGGAAGAGGCATAGAAACAGTGTCCAACTTAGTAGCAAGTATTACCTCTAGTGTTTAGACTGAGTTTTCCAAATATTTCCCACTAATGGGAACCAGGGTTTCTTGAAATGGCTGATTCCATTTCCTCAGGGGCATGAAATATACTGGATGATCCCCTGGTACATCTTGTTATGCCAGATATCATGGAACTATTTGAGGAATACTGAGGTCATGCCAAAAGGACTCAAGAGCCATAGGAAGAGGCTAAAGAAGGGGACAATTTGATTATCAATAATATTAACTGCAAGGGATTAGAAGATATACAAATTTGTTTAATTCTACAAATTTGAAATGATATAAACGCCTCTTCTCCCACCTCACCTCCACCCCCACCCAAGAAAATATCTCACAAGCAAACCTCACCGATCATTTCTGGAAGATCCTAGGTAACAATAACCTCTGAAGTTTGAAAACTGGTACCTGGGCATATTATATCTCAGGATTACCAAATAAATATGGATGAAAGTTTTGTGTTTCCAACTATTTAACTAGAAGGAATGATAGAATTAAAATATAACCATTTGGCAAACCCAAATTATGAAAAGATGAATCTAGGAAATAAATCATGAATGAATGTGAGTAACTGAAAGAAAGGAGCAACCAAAGATGTTCTGAGCTTCTTGACAGACACAGATCACACCCACAGAGCATTCCTATAACAGAACAGAACTGGAATCAGTGTCTGATCTCTCTAACTTGCAAGTAACAAGCACAACAAAGAAATATGTTAATGTCACCAGAAGACTCATTCACCCAAATCAGGCTGTTAGAAATTCTACAGGACAAAACCTAGTTTCTTCAATAAATAAATTGTAATTAGAGAAAGAGGTGGAAAAAGAACAATGGAAAGACTGAGATAGACTTGTGGCAGGGAATCTATACCTTTAAAGACATAAGTAGTGTAACAACTATCTATTGACACTATGGACCTTATTGGAATTCCCATTTAAACTACTTTCAGAAACATAAACTCACTCCAGACTGATCTTATTAGAGACATTTGAACACTGACTGTATATTTAACACTTGTAAAGGATTACAGTTCCCAATTTGGAGGTATTGTAATAATGTGATGATGATGGCTACAGAACAAAGGACTTGCTTTTAGAGATACATACTGCAATATTTATGGGTAAGAAGATAAAATGTCTGTGATTGTCTTCAAAATAATCTGATGGGGAGGAAGTAGGTAGCATATATAGATAAACTAGTTCTGTAAGCTGGGTGATGGGACTATTTTCTCTACTTGAATAACTAGTGGGGTATTCAAAGAAGTGAATTTAAACACAAGATTAAAGGAAAAGAAATATTTGACACTTATTATGAGGAACAGGAGAATGCCCTGTAGTTAACTGAGAGTGGAGCGCCAAGGCAAACACATCTTTGGGAGGTTGACTGCTTATAAAAGAGCAGTCACATCTACTCTAATTATTCTCTCCATGCCTCAGTGATAAGACCAGTCAGGGTTTCCTACAAATGATCCTAACACAGAGGAGACTACTGCATCACAGACTGTCTTTCCTGGGTGAGACTATATCCCTGCATGATCCAGAAGCAGCCACTAAACAAGAAGGGGCTGTGGAGCCCTCAGCAGCCAAGGTGGGAGAAATGCTGTAGGTAGCTTCTGAATCCTGATCTAGTGTGTGTGGTCAGAGGGGCTGTACCCATGGATCTATGAACCCACATAGCTTCAAAGCTTCCCCATGAATCTGCACAGGGAAGCATCCTGAAGAATCACACGCTGTCAATAAAAATGGGGAGGAAAACCCCTTGGTGGGACAAGAAAACAAAAATCTTATAAAGCTGATGCAGTTACATTTATTTATGTTTTTTCTGGCATCATTATACACTTTTAAGTACTAACATTAAAATCTGATTTTAAAAAACAATGGAAATACTTTGAAAGTGATTTTTAAAGCCTCTAAGAATAACTGCTCTAATTAGAGTAGCCTGAATCATGAAAGAAAACTGAATCACAAAACAAAAGAGTACGGTTTGATACCCTAGGAATTATTCACGATAACATTATTTTAGTTTTACCTTTTTTTCTCCCCATGAAAACCTGCAGTGTGTATCTGTAGTTCTCAAGGGAGGAGTACATATTTCACAGGATAGTACAAGGAGTAAATGGTAGGCAGCTGCAATTTAAAAATAACTCCAGGTGACTCTGACATCTACTAACCCCCACTGGAAGACACTCCTTTCCTGGAAGTCCCTGCTGGGTGGCTGGCTAAAGCTTGTGTGCGGCCAAAATGCACCTGAGATCATCAACATGGAAAACTGGCCTTTACTATTTCAAACACTCCTTGAAACTAAGCAGAGCTGCCATGTCAAAGGACAATGAAATCCCCCTGCACTCCCTCACAACTCACATACCTCCCTGTCTGCCCAGCATGGGGGATGCTCTGAGGTGAAGGTGGTAGGGGCATGGCCAGAGGGGAGCCTACTGCTGGCCATCTGTTGACAAGTGTACATGCACCTCTGCCTACCTGGACTACTGATCCCATTCTGTTGAGGGGTGATGACAGGCAGATGACTGCAGTGCTCTTTGTGGTCAAACTTGTGAGCATCATAGAAAAGTGACCTTACACCAAAAACATCGCTTACATCTTTGCAATCTTTTCATCTCCTGACAGGCCTAAGATTCCTATGGCCTCTGGGATTGATTAATTCAGTTTGGACAAAACATGCAGACCAACAACACCCTTCCTCACCACAATCTAACATTCATGCCTGTAATGGTGGCTCATGGCTCATGCCAGATAGGCCTGTGTCTTTCATAACTACAGTTTATGCAGACAGTGCCTTCTATGCAGCCAGTTCAAAAGGCATGCTCTGGGTTGAAATGAGCACCCAAGTGCTACACATTGTGTGACTACAAAGGTGGCTTGGTTTCTAAGAACCTTCTCAGTGAGGAGCGACACAATCACACAGCCAGGCCTACAGTCTAGATGAACACAAGCTACAGGTGAAAAGGAGAACTTTTCCTACAATCCTCTATCACTATAATTCTATGCAACCCAGAATTAAAAGTCTTGATAATATCAGTTAATGCTGCAGCATTGTTAACTTTAAAATTACTTAAAAACACCAAAACTATTAAAAATTACCTTTAATACCAAAGATTACATCCATAACAACTTTAAAACCAAAGTACTCATTTTATTTGAGTGAACAAAAAAAATTTCTACTCCTGCTATTTTATTAGTCATACTCTCCCAAATTATGTAAGTAAAGAATTACATTAGGACATACCAGGTACTTGGAAAATTTGGACTTATGATCATCCAAAGAATAAGTAAACATTCTTTTTAATCTAGCTACCACCAAGTTTTTAGAGCATGTGTCCTTAAGTTTTACTTCCCAGCCCAGACTAGACTTGAGAAGAAGAGAAGAAATAAGTCTCCTGGAACAAAGAATTCTATTTTAGGTGCACCAAGGCAGGGACATCTTGTCCCCCCAATTGAATATACAGAGTCCCTTTTCAAAAAAGTTGCAGTAAAAAGGGATTGATTCAAGGATCTAATTTGCCAAACTGATCTTTGTAGGTAATGAGTGCAAAGCTGTGGGTATGATAAAAAAAGGAAATAATCAGTCTGATTGGGGAAAGCCACTTGTGACATCTAGAATGTCAAGACTTCGGATGGACTGCATACACTACCAGAATAAATATTACCTTAAACAAAAATAAGGCATAACAGAAAACAGCCAAAGAAACAACTAGACCAAAATTAGAAACACTCACAAGATAACTTGACTGTCATAATGATAATTCAGTTACTCTGGTCTTCCTCAAATTATATGCAGGCATTTTCATGAGATGAACTTAGTTAAATAGGGCAAATATGGACTGATGTGTCCATGAAAAGAAGATAGTCTCCTAGCCGAGCAAGCATTCTTATCAAATCAAAGGTCATCATATCTGCATAATATCTGCATGTCTGAAAAGCATGGACATTGGATCAATATTTTACAGACTTCTTTCCTGATCTTCCCTCCATTAAAGTTTTGGTATTAAAGGTTTTTTCATGACTACTACAAGTACTCCCACATAGCAAATCTGAATGATTCTCTAGAATATTTTCAATTCTTATCTACTAGTACAATATTTATATTCTTTTAAGGGTACTGGAATTGTTATTTTGACTACTTCTAAAAATATAAGCCTATGTCACTCAATCATGACAATCATAAGGCATTCAAATCAACCAGAATTCTTAGAGCTGATTAGGAGGTGGATTAAGACAAGTTAATGGAGTAACAAAATATTTGAAGATAAAATATCTAAGTATATAATTGTAAAAATATAATTGTAATACTTACCTATCAGCCCCTTCTCGAGAGTGAAGGTTTTGTTTGTAAACATGCATTCAAAAGCCACAATGTGAAAAATCTTGTTCACTGTGTTGTGAGTTCCAACTATTCGAATATACCTGGGGGTAAAAAGGAAAGAAAATTTGTTGAGGAAAATGAGCTTCTATCACATCCAACCCAAAGATAACAGAGTAAGATACCTTATGTAAATATGCAATGTACTCTGATAGGTTAAAAGAGACACTGAACTTGACTTTAGACCCTGTACCTGCTCCTGGGGGCTAGCTCTAATGGAGTCTAGAAGAATTACAGCAAAATTAGGGAAATGCCACTCTCTAGAGAGTTAAGTAGAACTTAGATTTGATTTACCTAGAAAATCAAACCAGGTATTATTCCACTCAACCTCTGCATATGAGTATAGGTCCGTGAGACTAACAGCGTCTATCCTCATCTTGTGGTTGGGAGTATGCCCGCACACAGTGCACAAACACTCGGAAAGTCAAATGCTTTCCAACGCAGTGAAAAATTTCGGCCAGTGGAGACAAATACATGAAATCAAAATTGCCTTCTTGTTTAAAAGAAAAATCCATAGAAACTGCTGAAACCCACTCAGTTTCTTATATTTTACTATCATTCGTAAATCCTCACTGGGAAATTAACCCTATATACTTATGCCAACACCCTCCCACCCCCTTAACTGCTGGGAAGTCTTCTCCTGACCAGAGGAAGTGATCTGCAGAGGGGACCCAGCCTGCTCTGCAGCCTCCCTTCTGGCCACACCAGCGTGGCTTGTGTAGTTTCATGAGCAGGTCTTGAGCCTGTTGGCCTGTTCACCCTTTGTACCTCCCTGGAGGCTTCACCTCTGACCAACAAGCATTAACCTTGGAGCAACTTTCACTCTCCAAAGGGACCAGATGGTTCACAGGTTAATGAACAGACAGGCTCACCCTTCTGAGAGTCACAGAATTCCCTGGGGAATGTGCCACACACCGTTACTGGAGTTCAAATGAAAAAACAGGAAAAATAAGTAGATTTGCTGATTATGCTCTCCCAAATTGTGAACTATGTGCTCTGCAGGATGGGGCATATTAAACGAACAGATTTCAATTAGGAGAGGACAGGCTGGGCAAGGTTTAGTAATACCCTTCCTCCACTGGGTAAAACAACCTTCAACTTCGATGATATGATTTCACTTCTGGGTTAATAGCTGTTCACTAATTCAGTAATTTCCTTAACATTTCTCATCGCTCTGAGTTAACTATATGATGTAAATGCCTATTTGAAAAATTCACATTAAGGAGACTATATTTGGGGTTTCTCCATCACGGGTTATTTTCCCTCCTGTTTCTTCAAACCTGAATCTCACAGCATTCCCTGCGCTCCTCATTTAGCCATCTGCTCCTTGACACGAGCTGATGCCTCATCTCCATAACCAGCGTAAGTGCTGCCTCCCGCACTGGCTGTTCAGTGTCCACATAGCCACTGCAGGGAGACACCACTCTTCCTATGTGGCTGCATGCCCCACAGTCCTCTGGTTCAGCAGGAGGTTGGCCCTGATCTGTTTTCTTAGGACTCAGAGTAGACAGAATGTACCGATTTCAGTGGGTTTGGATGGGTGGGTAGGTAGAGTTCATGTAAAATAAGTTCTTAACGGTCTGGGTAGAACAGATTGGTGTCCTTTACTATTGGCAGTGACACTCTCTCTGGTGCTTTCTGGAAGAGAAGGGGTGTGTTAAGCCTGGCACCTTGGTCTGAATCTAATTTTGTCCATTTCCTTAAACCCACAGGAACTCAACCAGCATAGCATTTTCAACCGCACAAGATGGTGATGGCCTGAGTGCTGCTGTCTGCAGCTCTGCAGGGGATACAGGGAATGTGGTTTGGTGGAATCTGATCAGATCATTTTCCTGCTCCCAAGGTCGCAGTCTCTACCAAAAGGCAGACAGCTTTCCTAATAGTGTGCAAGGTAGAGGAGCCAGGAAGTGCTAGCAGGGTCTCTCCCCCTTGTCAATTCTTAAAGCTAATAGTCCCAGCTGACCTAAGGGGATGCAGTGAAGTTCCCTTCCTCCCTTTCTTTTCAAAACATACGGACTAAGGCTCCCCTATTTTAGTTAGCCATCATTTCCCCAATTTTACCCTAGCACAAGTATCAGGAAGGGGAGACAAAAGGCAACCTTCCCTCCCTCTCTTATACCCCAATTATAAGAAACTGAAAATAAAAAATTGTCCTGAAATACATTTTACAACCTTAATGATAGTGTTTGTGATAACAAACAAGATAATATATAAGGTTGGAAAAGCACTGAGAGATGCCTCCAGATAAAAAGTTCTCTATAAATGAAGATAATGTTATCTCTGCTGCATAATCCTGAGGTCAAATTAGCAATTCGCTACTGTACATCACACTTCTTGATTAGCCTGCTATATGTAATGCTCATAACAAGTTTAATTATTCTAGTTCTACAATATTTTCTAAGTCCCCATAAAATTATAGCATAATTTACAAAAATGGCACAAAGTCCTTATTCAAATACACATTTAAAAACCAGTAACAAAGTCATAAAAAAAGAAGCCATGCTCCATGTCTCTAGCATAGGGAGATCTTTCCTTTACTGAAGATCTTTTCCTTGACTAGAAATAGCAAATACTATTTTCTTGACTAGAAATAGCAAATAGGCTTCAGTGAATTCCCCAGCTTCAGAGGATCCTGGAACTGTACATGAAGACCTTAGAGGGCCTGTCCAGCACAGGGGAGGAGACCTTGATTTATGAGCAATGCCCGGAGGGGAGAGGGAGGCAGCACAGGTACAGTCTGACCCTGAGCAGATTTCCTTAATGGGCTAGGATGGCGCATCCAGAGGCAGAAGAGACGATATTATTACCTGAGCTATTGAAAACCCAATGGGGTAAGGAATGGGAGAGAGTGCACACGTGCGCTCGTTCTCTCTCTCTCTTTTAAAACTTTTTTTTCAAAAACAAAGCAAAATTTGCTTCTGGGCCACAACACTTAAACAGGAGAAATAGATGCCACATTTTCTCTGTCACAAAGGATTCTGAGAAAGAGGTAATACTTGAGATTAATTTTTTCCTTTCAGCATCATCTCTCCAATACACAGTCAGACTCTTGATTTAACCTGATAATAAGGGCAGTGGCAGCTAGTAACTTCATCAGTGTGCAGAGAGGAGCACTGCTGAAAAATACACCAGCTATCCTTTGTTCTCTCTGAGGTCCTCAACAGCAGCTCAGACAGTTGGAAGATAATTAAAACTTAAACAGAGCTGAGGAAGGCAGCTAGGCAACAGATTGGCCATTTCTGATGAGGATGAATGCTGTCCACATGAGCTCTCATGTAACAGTCTGTTTCCAAGTCTCTCCTCCCTTCCCCATGTTAGTTGTGTTCTAATCTCTCACAAAGACAGGTTTCTGAATGTGTTTCAATGCAGAAGTTTATAGGATTTATAATACTGTGAGTGAAGAGATTCTGTCTTCTTTAATAAAATGAAACCTAAGTCTTCCTAGGATAACACTCTAAAGCTGAAAGGCACTGATGGGGTCTAATGGAACCAGGTTTGTGCCCAGCTCATTCCCTGAAATGAGTGGTGTCACTTGGGGGAAAATGTTTTAAACCTTTGTTTCCCTTCTCTCTAAAATGCAGTCAACAAACCTTAGAGGATACTGAGATAAGTATTTAAAGTGCCTAAAGCAGTGCTTGGCAGAGTAGGATATGGTTACTTAGAAATTCAAAGACTAGATTGTTGGATGCAGAATTTCCTGGTTTGGCATCTAAGAATGTTGGTGTCTGAGAGAGTATTCCTAACTGTAGATGTTGAAGTGGTATATCCACAAGGAGGGCAGACTTCATGAACACCGGTGGGGGCTCATCCTTCCTTGTAGGGCACCACATGCAGGCACTGTAAGCCAGAGAAAGGAGTTCCTTTCTGAATGTGGAGTACCTGGCTCTGTGGTCGCTTCTGCTTTAAGTCTTTAGTCTTCAGAAAAAACTATTTAAAATGTTCTTGACATGACTTAGCTAGGCAGGAGGGAGCAAGGGAAGATTCTTTAGCCTGTATTTGGTTGAGCAGAAGAGTTTCTCACTGAAGAACTTTTTTGTGTAAGCCTTGCAGTTTTCATTTATTAAGAAATATAGAAATTTCTTACAGAGAGATATATCATCATACTATGACCTACAGAGAGTGTCTGACTGTTCTAGGAAGGTATAGATTCCTAGCCTGAACTCATGTTTGCATAATTTCTTATGAGTATGTTACCACATGTAATTTCTAAGTCATATATTATACATCTTTAGTATACTAAAGAAAATAGAGAAAATCAGTAACTTGTATATTCCCACCTTAAGTAAATGCCTTGGTATCTCAAGTCTTCATTTCTGGGAAGACACACATCTACTTATGGTTATAGTTAATGCATAACCTTGCCTCTAGGTGATCACCTAACTTCTGTGCTGAACAGGATCTACTACTACAAGATAACACTGAATTCAGTAAGAAATATTTAAATGAGCTTACCAGGGATAAACTAAAGCCCAAATCCATCATAATTTGATTCTTTGGTAAACAAAGTTTTATACTCAAATTGAACTTCATATTCTTGGGTTAAACAAAGACTCTTGAGAAAACCAGAGTTAGCCTAATATTGGTACACAAGAAGGAATCGTTAACATTTTGGCTCTTCCTCTGAGGTAGCCATAGAGAACTCTGAGAAGAAAAATCGTTCTCTTCTATAGTCAGAGGCATTTCCCTGACAAGAACTTCAGCTACAGCATTTACTAAGAACTTGTGACCATGTGGGGTTTAGATTCACCATTTCCAAGATTTCCTATTTGACCCTTTCTTTCAAGGAGTTACTAAAAAGGTACATAAATAATTCTCTAACCTAAAGAGCAGGTAATGTCTGTGCGTTCCCCCAGTTTGATATTTTCTCCTAGTTCTAGGTATATCTGTTAGTGCTCTTAAAATCAGACCACAGAATGGAGGGGGAAGTGACTTCAGGTCTTGTTGCTAAGGCAGCAAGGGGAAAACAGTTTACTGCCAGAATGACAAAAAGCTTCTAGAAAAAGCATGTTGCAAGAGAAAAGATTTGTTACTCTTTGAAAACCTT